TTATATTATATTTATTATTTATTATATTATTATTTTATATATTTTCGATATTAAAAATAAAAAAGAAGCATATACTTTAGTATATAATACTTTGTGTAGATCATATTAAATTATAATTATTTTAAGCAAATTAGTCTAATTATTACTTTAAAAATATATTAGTAAAGGAAATACATTTATACTGAAAAATATAAATTGTTATTTTATATAAAATTTTTATCATTATATTGATTTTTATGAAATATCATTAACTTTAAATGAAAATATATTCAATATTACACATTTCAATATTATATGTCAATTCTTATTGCTTTCAGTTTAAAATTAAATAATAGTAATAAAAGTTAAAGTTATTGTTTTAAACAATATTGTTTCTATGTTTGGAAAGATATAAAATATAATCAAGGGAAAATTGATACATATATTATATTTCTCAGAAATTTAACCTTATATAATTTATAATAGATATTCTGTAACAAACAAATTATAATAGAAATTTGTATATTTTAATAGATATCATTTAAATGGAAAAATTGTCAAATAAATTCACTTGATGATATATTAAAAATACTGTAGTAAAAGTTATTAATAAAAATAAACTAATAAAAACAACAGCTAAAAAATACAAAATCAATAAAATGATATTATCTAGATATATAATTAAATATAAAAATAAGAAAAATACAAATTTTTATCTAAATTTATATTATAACATCATAAATTTACAAACGAAAAAAAAATTACGAATAGAATATTTATTAACTTCAGTTAACTAAAATCTTAATTGTGATCTTTTTAATATTGTATGTATATAATGTTAATATTAATATTATGGATTTTGACACAAGTATTGAAAATATAGACAAAAATAAAGATGCAAGTTGTATTTATTGCAATTTTTTATACCAATATATCAAAATCAAATAAATATTAGATTTAATGTCAAATGCATTCCAAATAATCACAGACAATGTTCTGATATAATCATTCGAACAAAAACGTTTTATTGTTAAATTTATATGAAATAAACTATTTTGTTTTTATGTATTATCCCTTCCATATTTGTATATCCAGATGGAGAGATTTGAGACATTTATCAAAAAACATTTTTTAAATATGCAGAAAGATCATTAAAATATTATTTAGTTTTTTTTATACAAATTTTTTTTTCAAAAATGTATCAATCCTTCTCAGATTCCCCTATGTAAATAGATATACATACATATATTCATACGATATGAGTACAAATGACAGTTGTTAGTTTTATGTATAATAAAGGAAAAACATGAAAAATATTAATAATGATTTCAATTTAATATGTGTGTGTATGTGTATGTAAAAAACATTATTTCTTAGAGAACTATACAATAAATTTGGCTGAGAAGAATACTTCCTCTTATCTAATTGTAAATAATTTAAAAATTATTTTAAATATGAATGATATCAACTTTACTTCTGAATGAGAATTGATTGTAATGTATTCAGACTTGAAAAAAAAATTATATAAAATTTTTATAATTATATAAAATTATTTACATAATTATATTAAAAAAATTGTATATAATTATAAAACTTTATATTTTTTTTAAAATTATAATTTTAAATTTTATGTCGATTAAATATTTTTTATACTTTATAGTGATTTAAAATTTTAGGTCTTTTTTTTATTATCTTATATATTATATAATTATTGTTAAAAAAATAGAAAATTTCATTGTATATATTTCTATAAAAAAATTTAAACATATTATACATGTATGTATAATATGAATGTATATATTATACATATATATATATAATGTATTATAAAAAAAAAGAAAACAGAAAAAAAAGAAATATCAATCAATATTATGTATATTAAAACAAAGAAAAAATAAATATAAAAAAAGAAAACAATATGACACATAGATATTTTAGATTAAGATTGATTTCAATTTGCAGATTCTTGCAATCTATCAATTTCATGCTATACCTGCGAATGGGATGGATGAGTTTGACAGCTGGCATACGTATCAGAGCTGTCTATGCTCCCTTGCTCGTTGTATATTTTTCCATAATTTGTAGTATCCATTGGTTGCAGCGCAGATATCTTCATCTCTGTTGCGAAAATCTGTTGATGCACGGATGGTTCTGTTGACATGACTCCGGATCGCATCGACTTCATTTCCTGGCAGATGGGGTTACGAAAGTCGCTAGTCGCCAGTGGCATTATATTTTCCGCATCTCTGAACTCTTTGTATTCCTAGAAACATGACCAAGTAAAAAGTCTCGGTTTGTTGAAGACGAATCGCCGTAAACCAAGCGTCGCCTTCAACATCAGATGTAATCCTAAAAATTTACCTATAAAAATTTATATAAAATGGCGTATCTCTCATCAATAGACAATATTTATTTTTATTAGATCAAAAATATTCCATATAAATAAAATCAAATTTATTTATTTATTGAAGTTAAGAAAATCGGATCGAAGACAAAATTATCATTGTTGTAAATTTGTACATAAAATATTTTGTCATCTCATTACTAAATACTTTTTGATAATTAATTTTTGATTATAATAAAAACCATAATTATTCCATAGAAGAACATAATAAACCAATGGATGTTACAAGATTTTTTCTATAAAATTCTTTAATATTGTTTTTTAGTTTTTAAAATTTTTTTTAAGCAATAATTTAATAGATTTTTATATTTAATATTAATATTAGTATATTAGTATAATTTAATACTAATATTAATATATTAATATAATTTAATATTAATATTAGTATATTCTATTCTATAGAAACTAACTTAAATAAAAGAAAAATATTAATCTAATGAAAGCTACGCACATTCATTTAATTGAAAAAAAAAAACTTTTTCATATGTATATAATGTATATTCTATAAAATATATATTCTAAAAATAGAAAAGAAGGAAAAAAACTGATTTGTGTGCTTTCCAAATAATTAAAAATCTATTTAATATTATCTTCTTATTTTCAACATTATACTTGCCTGATGCAATCCAGAATTTTTTAATAATTTAAGAGTAATTTAAACGAAGTTAATACATATACAAGTATATATGTAGGCCTGTAATAAGGTGCAAAAACTTAAGTAAAATAACAATTGTTTGTTAATTGTATTCCCAAAGCTTGCCAGAACCTATTAGATGCAACAAATCACAATATGGACATTCATTGAATCATTCATAATTCAAAAATTCTATATATATTAGCTGATATCGTGCTTATTATTTTGAATATTTCTGTTTCTAAAAAATAGCATGCTGAAAGGATAAAAAGTAAAACAAGCATTGTTGAACCCATTACACGATATCAGATTGATTGGATTTTTCATTTTATTTATCAAATAGAATACAAAATATTCAGATATTTTAATTTTTTCTTTTTTTTTTTGTTAAATTTTGTTGATATATTTTATGAATATAAAAGTAACACAAAATTGTTTAAAGATTTATTAAATAATTTTTTCTAACAAAATTATGAATATGATTATGAATATGGATGTGAAAATAATAAGATTTGAATTTATTATGATTTAATATATAATAAATTAATAATAAATATAATCATTAGTCAATAATAAAAAATATCCTGAAAATGATTATTTATTTTGAAAAATATATTTTAAAAAAATATAAGACATAGATATTTGAATATATATACTGAAACAAGATATTTATTATATACTTATTTTTAAATATAGTCATGAAAGCATATAGCCACATTTTAATCACTAGATCCAATCTATTGATTATCGATGTTTCTATAAATTTCGAAGTAATTAACTATTTTGTGAAATACATTTCTTAACATTTTAAATATGAAAGATTTTTAAATTTTTCTTTAATATATACAAAGATGAATTAGATTTTTTTCTTCTTTGATCATGCACAAATTTGATGAATTTATTAATATTTTTTTGTTTATTAATAATAAATTGATTTGATTTATATAATTTTATTTAATTTTGATTTTAAGAATTATGAATTAATTTTAATATATATTTAATTTCTATTTAGAAAATATTTTTAAAATTTTTTCTAATTTCATTGTATTTCATCTTTTATTTTATAATAATATAATAATTATAATTCTTTAAACATAATAAATAAAAAATCTAAAATAAAAGAAAATAAATATTTAAAGATAAAAAGAAACGATTAAAATAAGTTATAATTGATTTAAATATTAATATTTTTTATTTCTATATTTTTATGTATTTTTTCAGATTTTATAAATAGATTTATTTAAAATTTATTTTTGTTGTATATTCTGATCAGTTTTAAGGCATTCCACTTTTATGTGAATGTGTATGAATTAATTCAATTTATACTTTATGAAGTTCATAAATGATCAATTTTTGTACATATATATACATGTATACAAAGGAAAATATTCTCATACTGATAATCATGTTAAAATATTCGCATTAATTAATACTTATTTATTAATATTTAATTAAAATATTATATGATTATATAATATTTATTATATATATTTTATTATATTTTATTTATTTATATATTATTTATTTATTTATTTATTATTATTATTATTATTTATATTTATTTATATTATTTATTATATAATATTTGAAAAATATGTATCATGTATATTTTATAAAATATTTTTTTTAGATAAATTATCTAATAAATAAGAAAAAAATAATCGCATTGTATAAATATGAATAAAAATTTATCAAGAAATAGAGATGAATATAAAAAAATTATTTAATAATCATATTTCATTAAATTTACGAAATATTTTTCATAACTTAATATAACAAAAAGAAAAAAATTTATTTGAAATATTACGCGTAAAAAAACAGAAAAATACATACAAAGTATTTCATTAAATATTATTACTTTGAATTACATCGTTATTATTATTCGCAGCGAAAAATGTTTTGATAAATATTAAATTATTTTAAAAGGTATATATATTAATATTAGTTTTTTGTAGATGGACTTATTAAGAACATATAAAAATCAACTTTCATTTCTTAAATAGAATCATATATTTTTTTATACATCAATTAATGCAGTTTTTAATTTTTTTTAAAAAAATATAATATCAATTCGATATATGTCGAAAAATTATTAATTTAGAAGATATTTTGATGTACATATTATTAAAATAATTATACTTATTAATAATAATTATATTTATTTATTAATTATTAACAAAAAAGATTCAATGTAACATTTATTTACATCTCGATATTTTTGGAATTGATAGAATAATGAATATAATATCTATTCTATCTTATGATTTTCTTTTTATAAATAAAAATAAAATTGATTATTTCATTGGTACAAAATTTTATTGCTTTATGTATAAATCATATTTTTTATAAATTTTCTAATTTCATCTTTAGTTTAATTTTTTTTTTTGCGTAATATATTTAACTTCTTATTATTTACATAATAATATTTTTAAGTTATTTTTATAACTATTTTTTATTGAGATTAATATTAAAAATTTTAGATATTTGCTTAAATAAAAAATAAACGAGATCTTAAACAACAGTAAAAAAAAATATTTATTCTTTATTTTTAAAATTATATATTTATTTTTTATAATATATTAAATATATATAGCAGATGATGATTGTGGAAAAATAAATATGTGTTGTATTTAAAAATAAAAAATAAAGATTTGTTTTTACTATATTTTATAAAGATATGTTCATATTTATTTAAATGAATATAAAATTTTTATTTTAATTAAACAGAAAAAATTTGTTCGTTCTCGTACGATTTTATAAATATTTATATGCAATATTAACGATGGATAATTAATAGATATAGATATTAATGTAAAAATTATTTTTATTTATTTTAATTATATTTATTTTTATTTCGATAGATTTATCATTAAGCAAAATAGTCACGTTCTTAGAATCTGCTGAAAAAAGACACCTATAAAAAAGTTTGTCATTAAAGCATAAAAAAAATAATGTACATATTAATTTTTTATTTTTATTTTATTTTTTTTTAATTTCAAACTATAAGAATATAAATTAACACAATTTTAAAAATTATAATTTTTTAAAACAAATATCATTCTTACCATTTTTTAAAACAAATACCATTCTTACTTATATAAGAAGAGCTTTGATTTTCATTTAGATAGCATAAAAATCTTTAAGCATAAAACTAAATGTAAAAATCACTATATTCACTAATTATTTTATAATTCTTGCATTATTTGAAAGTTTTTCAATTCATTATGTTTTATAATTTCTTGTAAATATTTCCATTTCTTTATAGTATGTATATTTCAAATAAATTTTTGTTATTTACTATATTTAAATTATAAAATTTATATTACAAATTTAACAAAGTATGATTATATTTCGTTTCTGTTTTTTTATAAATTTTTATTCGTATTTATAATAATGCGAATATTTTTCTTTTGTTTATTAGATAGTTTATATAAAAACTTTTATAAATTGTATATCTATTTTTTACAAATATTGTTTGAATGCAATTATGTTTTTGTAATTATTCAATAAATAATTAATTTATACATCCATTGAAAATAAATATTGAAAATTATTCGAAAATTAAAATTTTATCTTTTTTTTGTATTTTAAATTTTTATTATAGCTTTTGAATCTTTTTATTTTAATTTTTTAATAAAGTTTTAAATAATTATATATATATAATTTTTTCTCATTTATTTAACGATATATAAATCGATATTTTTAATTAATAAAATTTGAAAAAAATTGAATGTTATTTATAAATCATTTTTTTGATTTTCATCCATAAATTTGAGATCGTGTATTGGGTTCAAATGATCCAAAATATGGATCGTTATTCATAAAAAGCATACATTCTGTGTTTCAAATTTATCATTTCGAAACAAAAATGCATAGAATCTAATAAAAATCCATAGAAAATAATAAAAAAAAATTGAAAATTGAAAGTGATTAAAAAGAGATGAAAAGATACGACCAATTAAAATTGAAGTACAAATACGCTCTGGAAATTGAAAAGTGACGATTGTATAAGTGTAACAGTATTATTTATCGACGAAATTCGAGCATTGCCTTTTATTTGGCCACTAGCTCGCGTAACAATAATTTTTGAAAATTATTGATATAAATCTATATAATTTTTTGTCGCGTAAACTTCGATTGTTCACATAAAATTTGATTATCGAAATTTAATAGTACTACGTGAGCAAGTGTCGCAACTGCAGAATCGTATTCGTCATTATTGCATTTGTTTCACCTGACTTTTTTTATCTATATTTCTTTTCTTATTTTTCGTTAATTGACATATAAATGGATTACAATCGCTAAAAATACTGTATATATTTCATAATTGTTGTTCAACATTAATAATATTTATTTTACCAATTATTGTTTAACAATAAATAAAATATCTACATGTATATTTTGTATACACAAAAATTATTATTCGAAGTTTTCAGAATCATTTTCCCAGTTATAGTTATATAGAATCGTTTATTAATTTCATTATTAGAGATAAAAATATCAATAATAATATCCATTACATTTTTTATATATAATTTTTTTAAAAAAATAAAATTTTAATGACTTCTTTTTAAATTCTAGATTTTTTGAAATGGATTAGCGATTCAATTTTTTTGATTTTTTCTGTATTATTTATATAAGTATGCTTATATTTATATAAATATATATTTATCAATTTAAATTTTATATATAATTGTTAAGCATTTTAAGAACTTATTATAAATTATAAAAACTTATTATAAAAACATTATTATAAATTAATTAATTGTTAGAACATAATGTTTCTAGCGATTGCTTTTAGTATGCATTGTTTTTAATATACATTTTAATAGATAAATAAAAAGAAAAGAAACAAATTATACGATTTTTGAAAGATATTGTAATTAATAAATTTATTACAATTTATTATAAATTTATTATAAATTTATTACAATTTATTAAATAAAAATACAACATGTTGACAAAGACGATTCAATATGACATTCACCAAATCAATCAGATTGTATATAATTTTATTCAATCATGCCACGATAATGAGATGAATGAAAATCTATGCGTGACTTGCTTTATACAGCCAATGAAATTGAACTCAAATCAATTAATATTATTTGTTTAAGACATTTAGTCATCGTATAAGATAAATGTCTTTAAAAAATAATTTTCTGCTTTCAAAAAAAGAAAATTTCAAAGAAACTTGAACAAAAACAATTATAAAAACAAAATAGAAAACATTAGTTGAATATTATGAATTTTTATCATTAAAAGAAATGTGATAAAAAGAAATATTAAGAAATTATTGAACTCTTTGAAAATTATTCTCATTTGAAATATTAAATTGAAATTAACCTTAATATTATATATATTTAATATAATAAAGATATCAATAATTTTATTAAAAATTCATAATAATAATAAAGAATATCAAATTTTAACATTTACTAATTCTAATGTTGTTATATTCTTGTAACTATTTCAAATAATTTTTAAAAATTAAATTCTCTGTTTTTGATTGTTATTTTATATAATGATTATTTTGTATATACATAAAAATAATATATCTACAAAATAATACACTTACTTTACCGATTAATTAAATAATTTGCATGAATTATTATTATATCAAATTATCAAATTTAAATTAAACTATCAAGTGTTCAAATATTGATGAATGTCATAAATTATATATATATATATATATCATAAAGTACTATAAATTAAATACAAGAAATATTTATATATAATATTTTTCATTTTTTACACGATAAAATGTTGAATAAAAGTATTTTTATATCTATGATAAAAATTTGAATATACTTGAATCTACACAACATAAGTATCAAAAATAAAAATAAAGTAATAAAAATATTATAAAAATATGTATATAAAAATATATAAAAATAAATAACAATATTTTTTATATAGATTATACATCTTGTTATTAATTTCATTATAAAATTATAATTATTGAAATGTTGAATTATGATATATATATTATGAATATTAATTATGAAATATTATGTAACATATAATATATAATTTGGCTTTGTTATATATATTTGCTATAATTTGTTATAGCAAATATTTGTTACTGAAGTATTTTAAATGAAATGTTTGGTGATGTTCAATTGGAATATTGTTTCATATTTGTCCGAATTATTAATAACTTGCAAACAAATTGCTTGAACATGAATAAATTCTCTTCCATATCTAGTTTACTCCAATGATTGCGTGATTCATGCACGAATTTAGCGTGCGAATTTGATATTTAATTTAAACTTGAAAGCAGGAAATTATTCATTAAAGAGGAAAAGAAAGAGAAAAAGAACGAGAAAATAGTATATTCGTTTAAATAAATATATATATAGTAGGCATATGCGAATAACTGCAATTTAAAATATTTTATCACATTATATATAAGAAATTATGAAAACAATATATTATGAAAAAATGAAATTAATTAATTACAATAATGAATAGAATATATCATTGGAAAAAAGAAAATAATAATTTTTTAATAAAATTTAATAAAAATTTATAATAATAATAAATAATTAAAAGTAATAATTAAAAATAATTTGCATAATTAAAAGTAATTTTTGCATGTAATGCAAAAATCGCATAAAAAATTTATTAAAAAATTATTGCAAGAATGATACTTTAATTAAATAAAATTAAAGATAATATTTTAATTATAAATTGTTAAAAAATGATCAAATAGATAAATTAATTATTTAAAAAAAAAAATCTTCATTTTTTTTAGATTTTTAATTCTATTTGTTTCAATTATAGAAATATTAAAAATATAGAAATATTAATTACTTAATAAATATAATAAAAGAAAAAAAAATTTACTTCATAAATACCTAATATTTACACTATGTCCAATGATTAGTATACCCAGTATCACAGATATTAAAAAGATATTAAATTTCTAAAACAATAGAATTTTTAAAAATAAAATATTTTATACTTTTAAAAAATATAATTGTAAAATTAAATTAAGAAATTAGTTTACATTAAAAGGATATGTGATTCAATATACAATTATTCATTACAAATTTAAAAAATTTTTTTTGGAATATAAATATAAAATATAAATATATAATTTTGCTCGGTTTTCTAGAATACAAGTCTATTTAAGAAAAATTGAATTTTTTTTTTAAATTTTCCTGTATATAATTTTCTAAATAAAATTAAGATAAAATAAATAAATACTATTAATCTTTTACAATCTAAATTTTTATTAAACTATATTATATATTATTAACTATATTATAAATTAGTTTTAAACTAATTAAGTAATAAATAAAATAAGTTAAAATAATGATATGAAATAAATCTACAAAGAATTAAAAAAATAATTATTAAAAAATAATTAAATAATTAGAAAGATTTTTACTTTCTGCTTTATCTACCAAAAAAAATCTAAAAATTAAAGTAATCACTACTTTTCTAGACATGCCACTGTGAACTGGGTAAATTTTTTCCTAGAGTAAATTAGAATAAACTCTATTTAGGATTAAGTGAAAAGGATTTATATATGATTAGAGCTGAAGGCATCAAGTTTAATGGTGTAATCTCACTCCAGACATAAACGATGATGACAATGCCCGTGCCTTGACCTATAAAATTGCGAGTTTACACGCAAGTCAAATTAGAGCTACGGTTGCGTCTAAAGCTTTGAATGAACTGATATCGTGTCAATGGAAAAGTTGTGCTCTGTTGAACTGAGAAGGGAGGCAGTGCATACACCCAGTGGACTATACATATGGACAAAGTTGTGCAACAGCTATAATAGAATGTATACAATAATAGCGGACAGACAATAGAAGCCAGGGGACAAACGAATACACTATCTCGCGCGATATTTATTTTCTTTAATGATCAGATATTGCTGGCAAAGATAAAAAGCAATAAAAATAAATCATAATATAAAATAGATCCAGAGAGAGAGAGAGAGAGAGAGAGAGAGAGAGAGAGAGAGAGAGAGAGAGAGAGAGA